CCCCGCCCTGCTGCCCAGGCAGCTCCTGTCTGCATGCTTACTCATGCACTTACGTGCATTTGACCCCTGACAGCCAATCACCTTGCCCACTGTTCCCAGCCCCAAGCAGCCAGCCTGGGAAAGCAGAGGCAGAGCAAAAACCCAGACATTTGCTCACATTTGAAAAAAACACCTGGACATGAGGGCAGGGGGCTACAAAAGAGCACGTGTAGGAAAACCCAGGTGTATGGTAACTCCAACTGGTGCACTGCGAGAAAGGGAGCGGGCACCCCGTAGTCTCCATCCTGTCCCCCCTACCACATTCTGTTTCCTGCTGGGGCACTGTAGGGCTTCTGTTCCTTCCTGGACTGTGGCTGGCCCCAGGCTAAATGATAACTGGCAAGCTAGAACCAGTTATCATTGAGCTGATCAGTTAAACAATAAATAATTTAATTGTTCACATCCCTAAACCCCATGTGTAGCGTGCATGCCAGATACAGCACTCAGGGTGGTGCAGGGCACACTGCTTGCTTTGTGTGGCTCCAGACTTGCAGGCAGTACCATGACCTGGATGAAAGGGCTTTGTGAGCCATAACTTTGACACCCCTGACCTAGACCATACTATGAACTTGGAATGTAGTCGACTTTTGAAACTATATTATGTAGGACAAGATTTAAAAGCACGATCAGAAAGCACTTGGCTAAATGTTGTTGCTGACAATTATGGAACAGCTCTTTTTAAAAAAGATCAGCCCTTGAAGCCATTAAACATTTTTACAAAAATAAACATATTCATTTAAAAGACAGAGAGGGGACTTAAATATGGAATTCAGACCCACGGCTTGGCTAATTATCTGCCGCTAGTTGGGCTAGTAGGCTAAAACAGTCATAGCAACCTAATGGATGCTTATCTTGCTGGGATCCCATGACCCCAGCTGACTTCCTGCCCTTCGGGGGGGGGGACTGGACTTGATGATCTTCCGAGGTCCCTTCCAGCCCTAACGTCTATGAAATCTATGAAATTCACCATTTTTTGGTGTAGCTAGAAAACCGTAGTTTTCTACATTTATCTTTAACATGTTTAATTTAATCTATGTTAGTAATCCAGTTGATTTCACGTGTGTAGGCCAGCAGGATTAGGGCTTTAGCTTCTTTTTAATACCCCTGTAAATTGTCCAAACTACAAGTAAGGTTAGTATATCACAGTTATTTCCTGCAAAGTATGCTTTCATCCCTGATCAGATAATTCTGTAGGTGAAAAATATGCAGGAATTCAAACTAAGTCAGGAATCAAAGCTCTTGGTTACCCATAAACTGTTCTATTTTAACATGACCATTCCACTACCATCCTGTGCTGTTTTTATTGCTAAAACCTGTGAGGTGGAATGGGAAATAATTTTTTTTAAGCAAGCTCCTTTAGGATCTTTTTCACTTAAATCTCAACATTTCAAGACAGTTCTTTCACATACAAAACATAACATGACACTGTGCGGATATGTATTTTGTTGAACAAATTGTCTATAGATTCTTGTCTGGTACTAAATTGGTAGGTTTAACTTGTACTATAAAAATAAATGACTGTTGTAATTTGTTTTATATGCTTGAGCTAAAAGTGAAATTGTGTTCTGTAGCAGTGGTGGCCAGCCTTTGGCATGTGGGCCCCAAGTGGCACGGATCACCTGTTTGTGTGGCACATACCATATTAGGGATGGGGCAGGTACCTCAGCAGCATAGAGCAGAAAGCAGACTATCAGACCAGGCAAGGAGCATGGGGTGTGGTGCAGAGTGGCACATCAGGCAGGGAAGGGGGATTGGTGTGGTGCTTAGGGAGTGCTCAGGGCTTAATTTGTGGCACACCTGCCAAAATGGTTGTGTTGTGTCGTGTCATGTCATGGGTGTGTGTGTGTCCCGTTCTAGAATATATTTTAAACTAATCCAGTCATGTAGAACAAGATTGTGTCATTTCTAATATGGCTGGTCCCAAGTTGCATTTCATTGTGGCCACTTTGATAATATAGACGGACCCTGAGTTTTGTTACTAGATGGATGGCAAAATTTCTAGAACCCCATTAATATATAGTAGATGAATGTTAAAGAACTTCATGTTTCTTTATTGTGTTTTTTTCCACTAATGTATATGTAAGCGGCAGCAAAGTCTCTTCAAATGTTCAGTTTCAATTAGAATTGAGTTTAAAAACTGTAGCTGATCCATTGTAGGCTAGAGTCAGTACTTTCAGGATTTATACCAGGTTTTTTAAATGAAAGGGGGAAAAGTGGCACAGAACTGATGGACATTGTCTATTCCAAAGTTGTTTGCTTACAAGACAAAGGAAGATAAATTAATAGGTGTGAAAATAAATAGGTGAAAATAAACTTCTTAAGCAACATTTTGTTTTAAGCACCATTTACTATAACAATATAGTTAATCACACTGACATAAAAAATTCAATGGAAAGGGAAGAGCAGTGGGGATTTGAAAATCATCAAGGCAAGTACTGAAATATAACAAAACAGTTCTAATTCCTTTACAATTCCTTCCGTTCAGTACTATGGACATCGAATTTAAATTCTAATTTCTGTAACTGAAGTGTAATTGAATATTTTATCCCAGATGAAACTGCCTATTGTAACTTTGATAAAGGAGACTACTTCTAATGACTTTTTTTACTTCAGATTCTATGATTTCCTAGAAAAACAAAAGTTTCAGGTTAAATAACAAAAAAAAAAAAAAAAAAGTGTGTAGTGGGGAACAACTTCAGTAAGTAACAAATTGCAACTTCTAGTATCAGGGAAAATGTTAACAGAACATTTAAAACTACAAAAAACAGCCTGTGTTCATCTGTTGCTTCTGCTTCTTAGTGACTTTTCTATAAATAGTGTTTTGTCTTTTTTTAATTGGAGTATTTCCATTGGCATAAATAGTTAACTAGAAAGGCTTGCCTCAACACAGTTTTTGTATTCCTGCAACAATATAGGCTTAAATAGCATAGGAAGGGGGGAGTATGTATATTGTACTTGAGACTTCCAAAACACTGTCCATTTTTAAATCAATTTTGAATGGATTTATTTAGCAAAAGTATAATGCTTTTCTCTCAAAATGTTTTTGCTGTATTATGAT